CCTTGGACAGATCTTCAGCATGGGGCAGTGAGTGGATGACTACGCAGATCCACCTGCCATTTCCCCACTTAGAGGTGGCAAATGTAGTGATTATACAGGTTACGGTAACTCTGTTACCGCTCCACAGCCTGGTAGGAGGACTCCAACTCCCACACACCAATCCAGTTACTCAGGCTCTGGGCTTAGAAGAGAAACCATCCCTAAATATGTAAGCAATATTTATTAGCCCAGGTTTTGAAAATCCGAGCATCAGTGCCTTTGAAACTACTTCCACTTTGTCAATTACAGATAGGAGAAACCTAGCTTGTGCAGTAGGTCTCCATTTACAGAATACACTGCAGTTACTAGAAGGCTGATTCTCCTTCAGCAAAGCACTGTATCTATCACCAGTGTCCCCAGTGCTGTACAATGTCCTCTCCTTGATAAAATTCAATACAGGCCTCGCTTGTGTTTGACACTGGGTATAACTGGTATCAGTTCAGTTTCCCTCGTCTTCACTGCTGTGAAACAAGCTGCCCTGCCTGTGCTATCAGTCAGATGCTGTGATTGAAAAAAAAGACAATAAAATATGAAGAGAGACATACCGTCATTAACTATAGAGCTATACAGTATCTAACACAATGGGCCAGGTTGGCCTTTAGGCACAGCTGCAATATAAATGTTAAAGTGTTGACAGACTTAATTACCACACTGTGTCTTAAGTGTATTTCCACTTCTCATCTTTTGAACCGAAGGATTACATCTCTACAAAAGCCTGCTGCACAAACACCTGCAATTGATTACTCTAGTGTAACAGTCTAAGATTAAGCAGGCCGCTAGGCAAATGCTTCTGTTATCTACTCATCCGGATCGCTCAGGGCTTTTCTGCACAGGGTAATAGCCCACAGTAGCTATTCCACAACAGCTCCCCTTGTGGACACTCTTATACTGCACAAAGAGTCCTTTTGTGCATTTTAGTTTAAGCTACTTTAAGAGGAGCGCACTTAAAATTCACACTCTAGCTTATTTTTAAGAGCTTTCTCATGTAGACAAGCCCTCAACCATGCCATTCTTCTCACTTCTGAAGACGTGAGACAGAGATATGTGCTAACTTGAAACACTAACACTGTCACTTATTGGAATTATACATATATATATACAGGCTAAAATTTTCTTCAAGTACTTGCAGCCAGATTGTGGTCTCAGTTATGTCAGTGAATATGATTGCAATAGGGTTATGCCAGATTTATAGTGGTGTAACAGAAGGACAGAATTTGGCCCTGAGTTTGTAGTTGCTTTCTTTCTTTCTTGGCCAACCTATCTTTCTTAAATTGTCTTATTTCCTCTCCTTTGTAGTAAACTCAAATTATCATAAAATCCTTGGCTGTTTATGGCTACAAAGCTGATTAAGCTGCAGGGTTGTTATACTCAATAGATCTAATTGATCTAAGTAGATGCAACTGAAAGTTTTGGCCCAGATATCACGTGAGTGCATAGCTCCCACTGACTTTATCCCTGTTGCCTGCGGAACGTGATCCCTTCAAAGTTTATGAACTCATCATAAAATAGCTACAGTCAGACAATACACACAAATCAATGGGGTTTGGGCCTGTCTATGGAGCACAGGATCATGCCCAAACAAATTGCTGAGCTTGGTAGAAATCAAGGCCTGAACTCTGAGGGGTCTTGCAAAATGCTCTGCACCAGGCTGATGCAACACCTCTTCCCCTCAGTAATATCAGATGTGATACCAGACCACAGTTTTAGATTACAGAATGGGTGCATGAACCCAGAATAAAGAGGAAATGGCAGGAGAAGAATAGGAGTAGTGAGGAGACAGAGATATTAACAGAGAGGCACTGAATATAGCACACAAGCCTGACTTTTTCCAAAATGTCAATAGCCTGAGGTAACAGGGCATGGGGGAACATGTACATGTCCCAGGCCATTGAGCCCTTTGAAACTGGGAGTGGTAGATACAAGCTCATGATTAGGCACAAGCATGTGACCTACAGGAAGCCAAAAATAAAGCTTTTTGCCTGTTAACCAAGGGCAGCAGATAGGCACCCCAGAGGAAAACCCTAATGTGGGTCTCACTACAGTATTCAGGAAGGGATATACTTTCCCTTCCCAGCTGGTTGAAGTGGGAAAGGCCTTGGGTTGGTATACTCAGTACTCTGAGTACCTCTGTTCTGCTTTTGAGTTTGTGTTTTAGAAATAAAAGAAGATCCCAAGCCAGGGATGTGAAGAGGCCTTTTGTTGGGATGTAATTTTTCTATCCCTGGCTGGCCAGTCTGCACATGGGCTTACATACAAACTTTAATTTATGTGTGTTTTAGCATTTATAGCAATTACACTTTCTTAAACTGTCACTGACTTTGGCCCTGTTTATGGGGCATTTATTGGTCCTTACGGACGAAGTGCTCTTGAATACATTCTCAAAGCTGTGAGTACTTTTTCCAAGACATGAAGCATAAGACACCAGTTTCGTAGGAAATGACCGTGCTAACTTTTGGAAAATGTTGACTTTTTCATGGCAACCAGTTTGGCCAGTGTGAGGAAAACTTGACTGTACATTTCTATTGGAATTTTTCTATATCTGTTCAGTATGTGATGGAATCCTATCTGCAAGAACACTTTTAATAAACATTTTCTGCTAACACCTGTGTGCCATAAAATAGAGTTTTCAGTTTCAAATCACATCAAAATCCATTCCATGCTTTATGCATTATTAACATGCGTATGCACATCTGGCACTATAAATGTACAATAACCTCTGTACAAATGAGCTTATCCCCTACCTCGAAGATCTTACAGTTTTGTGAGTAGGTGACCATCAGCATGAGTAAAGAGCACCACAGTCTAGCCCTAAATAAGATGAAACTTTAAGACTAACTTTCACATGCCAGGACAGCCTCTGTTTTAAGGCCTGGACAAGATGAAAGTAGTGTACATCTGCAACATAACTAGCCGGTCCATATAGAAGGGGCAGAGTAGAGTCTACGGGCTCTAATACTTTCCCTTCCCCAAGAACAGGTGAATGTCCCACTGCTGTGTTTATGCCCAATGGGTTTCCAAAACAACAGGTTACTGGGGTGGGAGTGGAGCTAGGTACAGCTGCTCTGTTGAGCACTGTCCCTTGGAAAATCTGATTGCCTGAGGAGATTCGTACAGGAATTTAATGCTACTAGTTTAAGCATCAACTTCTGCTCTGCTGTTCCTAAGGCCCTTTAGAGGAGGTAGGAAAAGAGCCAATCACAGCACAGCTCCTATGAACTCCTACTGGAAAGACAGAGGATGTCTCTTTCCTTCCAAGCCATTTCCCTCCTCGGATGCGATTTCATGTGGGATGGGGAAGGTTTTACTCATTGCCTGCAGGGCCGGCCCTAGCTTTTTTGCCACCCCAAGCAGCGAAGAAAAAGAAAAGAAAAAAGAAAAACCCGACTGAGCTGCCGCCGAAGAGAAATAGAGGCAATGAAGGACCCACCGCCGAAGAACCGGACGTGCCGCCCCAATAACGCACAGAGTGCCGCCCCTTTCTATTGGCTGCTCCAGGCACCTGCTTCCTTCGCTGGTGCCTGGAGCTGGCTCTGATTGCCTGGTAAGTCCACTGCAGCTCCAGTAGACAAAGCTGTGAAGACAGCACACAAACAGATGATGTATTAAAAGTGGGTAACATTGAATAAATAACTTGCATTACTTTAGTGGATAGCAATTAAAATCTTCAGAGCTTTGTGTTCTTGCAGACAGCAGGAAGATATTGCTGTGCACTCTCCTGCCCTCCAGGTATGTACTGATGGAAAACTTGTGCAGATCCCTGATTGCCAGTCTAATGGTATTTAATGAGGACAAATTAAAACTGAGCAGTCCAACCATGCAATATTTGTCCGTCTTACATAGTTAATTACTCGCAGGCAGCCAGGCTTTGTTCTGCATCCCTCTGTCCAAATGACATTTTTTTTGTTCTTCTCGCATCCTGTTTCCTTTAGAAATAAGGATAGTTTTTTCCCTAATTTCAACTTTGTGGTTTGGATGGATGGACCTGACCCTTGCATAAATTAGTGCTGCCTCATGGGCTTTCAGAAGTCCCATGTGATAGCCACACGGTGGTAATTCTCTGGTAATTTGATTTATCGCACCAGCTGCCAGGAGGCATATGCATTTGGATATTAGCAGAATGGGCACCCACTCAGAAAAACAATGCAAACACTGCAAAAAGCAATCGGCAATGCTACTGCACTTCATTAACGATGAAGTAGGCAGACTGCTGGGGATTAAGGAGGACTTCTTCCTGATATGATACAGTGACTATAGTCTCTGGTAGATGAGCAGTAGCAGAGCCATTTCACAGTCACTGCGCTACAGCAGCTGGCCACGGTCGCCTCCACAATTGTTGATCACCACATCAGGGGGATCGTCCCGTTGATTCCCATATTTAGGGATTCTGGGCTAGGTCCTGAAGTCCAACACAGTGAACTGAACAAACAGGTAACACTCTAGGAAAATCATGCAGTAAGTGTAAGTGGCAGTTGTGTCTGGGGGCCAGCTCCTCAGATGGTGTAAATCATCAAGGTAATTTCACTAGGAACATTCTACATAGTGGATTGAGACTGGCCCATACATAAGAATAAGGACCAGTGAGAATTAAAATGAGCAACAACCTAGGATTGTACTTCTTATTCAGATTTCAGGTAGTTGGTCTATTGTGATTAACAAATAGGGCTGCAGAAACCAGATTCGTTGTTTTCCATGCTGATATTTGCTGCTGTCTGTTAGGATTGCATTTTCACATATGACATTTTATCTGCCTTTCTCTGAATGTGCAGTTTCAACTTGGAGGAGTTGCAATCTGGTTAGGGAAGGACTTTCTGTGTGAATTTTGCAGCATGAATGAATTGTTCAGGAGCCCAGAGCAATAGACCGTTTTATTACATGGAAACAAATAAATGAACAGAAACAGATACTGAACTGTATCCAAAATAGCTCCTAAAATTGTATAGTGTCTGTGTTTCTCATTACAGGAGGACTGTACCATATGGGCTGTCTAACTACCGAGGCAGTTTCAGAGGCAAAAGGTCTACAGGACAGCTTTGCAAGAGCACAGAGTCTTTAGATTGGTCTTTATCACGGTGCTCTTGTTTGGACATACATGACAAACAGTGCATGTTGTTTTGCACAAGAACCCAGGACAGCAGATGGTGAGGGTCTTTGATTTCTTGTTTTAAAAATAGTAAGGTGAATTCTGAACATCCCTGAACCTACATACAATTAGCTATTTCATTCAAATGAATTAATCAAGCTGCACACAACAAATGAAACTGATTAACAAATTTGTTGATTCTAAATGAAATTCTCACAGAAAGTAGTTTAATATTGCTTTCTGGATTTTTGTTTTAAATGATGTGGCATTCATGAAGTAGCAGAGCTCCTGTCCAGTTGGGAGAATGAATAGGATAATTCAGAGCATGTTTAATCCTACATTCTTTTCAGACAAAAGGAAAAAAAATCCAGGGCATATGCCTGTTTTCTTCTTTCCCAAGAAAAAAGTACATCATTTGATATCTTAAAAAATAGCTCTCTATTGGTGACTGACAAAATGGAAGTGGTGACACTAAAATAATCCTAAACTCATTATCTTTTCCACAGTAATCAAGGGTCACTGAAAAAGACAGCAGAGAAAGAGCAACGCAGAGAAAATGAACATGCCCTCATTCATTAGCACAGAGGGTCCAGGCAGTTCCTGAACAGAGAGGTACAGTATATATCTGCAAATTCTACTTTATGCTGGATAGAAATGTTAATTTGGGTTCTTGTGCATACAAAGATTTAAATCTTGCTCTTAGTTCAAATCAGTGAAGTATCATGAGCTGAAATGAGAGCAGAATTTGGCCAAGCAGTTTGTTTTGTAACTTTATTACTTTGCAGAAACATTTAAGGAGCTCTCACAGGAATGGCCTCAGTTAATGCTGATGAATCAGCCAGAACTTCTAAGGATTTTGTCTTTCAGACCTTAAAACAGATTTATTGGCATTGGTCACATGTTTGGTGTTTTTAGTGGCTGTTTACTTAGGTTTGATTTTGTTCAGTTTGCCTTGGAGCAACTTTGGACACATCTGTTCATGTATTGTTCCAGTAAAACTTAAATTGCCAAGACACAGAAAGTGGAACAAGTTGGGTAGAGAAAATATTTAGAAGCAACAGTAAATCTGGTTTATTGCTGTTGTGGAGAGGTAACTTTGGCCTAGATTCTGATTTCTGTTAACCCCCTCCACCTCCACTCCCCAATCCACTCTTAATACTAACCTCACTTGACATCAGAATAAGGCAAAATGCTTTCAGTTCTGAGGTGGAACGCAGCAGTCAGTAGAAGTAGACATGCCAAATTTGGAACTTCATACCTGCAGTTTTCAAGGGAGATGTTTGGATTAGAAGCTCCTGATTTGAATTCATCCTGCTGATTTTGTTTGAGAATCAGATATAATTAGATTTTCAAGTGACATTCATTGCACCCACAAGTAATCATGAGTACAATATTGTACTCACAATTTTGGTGAGGTCATGGCAAGGCTGGTCTCAAAATCAGGTCCATATAGTGCAATATAATCCAACAATTTTCATTCAGATTTATTTTTTTTAAAGGTTTAGTGTTTGTTTGCCGAAGCTTAGAAGCAAGAACCTAAGCTACAAATCTCCCATGAGATGGACATATTGGAATGCTTCAGGCTGGCTGCCAATAGATAATCCAGCAGTATGCAACACCTTTATTGCATTGATGACAGTTTGAGGGCACATGAACCTGTGTGAAGAGCTTTTTGCATCCGTTCATACTTCTCTGACGAGAGTCTAAACTATGCAGTACAGGATGAGTATTTGCATGTACCCTGGAGATGGTGGGGGGAGGGAGAAAGGAGTATTCAAACTTTAGCAACACAAACAGATTCAAGAATGACTTTTTTTACCTGGTTTTAAAAATAATACAATAAAAACATACTGTTCCACTTAGTGCTTGCTGCCTGTGTGACGTACCCAGCTCCGGCTTTATGCAGGCAATTATGATTGGAGAATCTGGTAAATTAGAGAATTGTCTGTATAAGAATTTGCATTATGGATAAACAGAAACAAAATATGTCTCTTGCTAATAGATTCAAGCCTGAATCATCATATTATAACTTTGTTGGCAGATGTTTAAATGTCAGTATCTATACAGAATAAATATGAATGGTTAATATTTATATCATTATAAAATATAGCAAGTTAGCAATATACTGTAAGTATTCAATAGGTTACTTAATTAAGGCACAAATTATTTCTGTGCTGGAAAGGTCAATCCAGAAACACATCTACAATGAATATCTAGGGATACTCTGTATTTGATGAATGGAATTCCAAATATCCACCAACAAGAACCTGCTGAGGATGAAACTAAGTGTTGACAGATATAAAAGCATTATCTAAACTTCATACATTCAAAATATCTTACATCTCTCTCTCCTAATCCCATATGTGCTGTGCCATTTATACCCAGTGCATACATTCCTATTTGCTGATGTTTTAAGACATGTTTTTAACCCTTCATTCAAACCACTTTACTGAGCAGTTGAAGGACTGTGGAAATGTCAAGAAAATGGGAACAACGACAATGTTGGTCCCTGGAAATTTATCATCAAAAGTGATTTCATCAGCAAGTATGGACTGGACTGTTTTTTTGGGGGGAAACAAAAGAACAAGCAAGAGGATGAATAACACTTCCAAATGTTGCTCTTTGATATGATTTAAAATGTAACAGAGTAATTTCCTAACTTGTGGCATTACTAATTTCCTTTGTTAGACCTTCATACAAATCTTCCTAGGTGAAACTATGAGCAAATTACATTTATATTTTATCAGAAGATAGTTGGAGACCAAAACAAAAACTGTAAATTGAATATAACTGAACTTTGAGTTCATAATACAAATGGATATATAGGTTAAACAGTGGCAATAAACATTGAAACAACAAAGGGTAAGGTCTCTTCTAAAAATTTTTATATATATATATATTATATATATATATATAGATATATTTCATAAATAAATTATTAGAGTTATAAAGTGAATATATCTTTCAGTTATCACATTTGTATCACTATTTTTTACTTGCTGGCATGATTTTGTACGTTTATAGAAAAGTAGATTATTTATTTTTAAAACACTTCACCTATGGCTTTTTGGTGTGGTTTTTTTAAAGTAATGTAACAAAGGGAATGTGTGTGTGCATATATATATATATATATTTTTTTTAAATAACCAACCTTTTGTTATGAAGGCAATAATGTTCATTTATAATCATGAATAACTTTTTTTGGAATACATATGCACGATTAGGATTTTGAGAATTTGCCATCTTCAAAGGAGAGTGGTAGTTCTCCTAATAATCTGAAAATTAAGTAAAATCAAAATCACAATAAAAAGAGCTCTTTGATATAACCATGAATTAAAAAGATATAATTTAATTTTCTGTCTCTTCCATGGCTGAATGGATACCTCGGTATAACTCATATCTGGTCTCATTGGAGTTGTTGGACAAATGCATAAGCACTCAATCCAGGCTAGTTATGAACTCTACTCTTGCCTAAACTGGAAGATCCACTGACTTCAGGATCAGGCAATAAAGAGACTCAAGGTGGCTAGCATCCTACTGACTCAATGCTGCCTCCACTGTTACTGTTAGCAGGCTCTCGCCAGTAGAAGTGGTCAATATATTTTGGATTCCTATTATTTTCTAGTGGATGGAAGCTCCACTTTAAATTTTGTATCCCTACACGGAGTCTCACCTCCCCTAAGTCCCGCATGTCTTCTCTACAGTGCTTTTTTCCAAAGATGGCGGCCAGATTCACTGAGATTCTATGCCATCTTGTAATGATGTAAACTTACACTTTCCTGTGCAAGTTTTGGCACTGCACTGGATTTGACCCTGGAGTGTTGGATTGTTGGTGAGACTGCTGTGCTTTGGCATCAGGAAGAAAATTACTGGATTTTACATCTGAATGCTCCCTTAAAATGGTTTGCTTTTGGGGTGCCCCACAACAGAGGGTATCGTTCTACCAACGTAATGTTGTAATCCATATGAAAATTAGTTCATCATCAGGGCCTCAACATGAAGAAAATAAACATAGAAAGTGAAAGTTATACCAAACCCAGGAGAGGCAAAAAGCAGAGTCATCTATGGCCCTCTTCTGCTGAATTTTAACTAATGCAGCCCATGCCTGAACATTAGGCTCACAGTGGCCCTAGAATTACTTGTGATGGAACTAGAGTTTTTCCTACTTGAGAAAAGGTTAATGGGCTTGACATTCAATAAATAATAACCTCATGCTTTTATAGCAGGTTTCACCCTGGAAGATCCTAAGGCAGTTAGGGAAAAGTTTTCGAAACTTCTTGACAGCTCTTCCTGTTCTTGATGGGAGCTGTTGGATGGGGAGTCTTTTTGAAGGTGTGCTTACTTCATCTGGGAGCCTAGATGGGAGCTGAGTTCTTTTGAAAATCTGGCCTTGAGGAAATGACATGCAGTTTTCATTTCACATATCATGGAAAAGCTGACATGTGTCGCTATGTAAGCTAAACAGAGCCTCATAAAATCTGGTTTCAGAGTAGCAGCCGTGTTAGTCTGTATTCGCAAAAAGAAAAGGAGTACTTGTGGCACCTTAGAAACTAACCAATTTATTTGAGCATAAGCTTTCGTGAGCTACAGCTCACTTCATCGGATGCATAAAGTGGAAAATACAGAGAGGAGATTTATATACACACAGACCATGAAAAAATGGGTGTTTATCATACACATTGTAAGGAGAGTGGCCCACCTTGTTTATCACTTCAAAAGGTTTTCTCTCCCCCCGACCCCACTCTCCTGCTGGTAATAGCTCATCTTAAGTGATCACTCTCCTTACAATGTGTATGATAAAACACCCATTTTTTCATGGTCTGTGTGTATATAAATCTCCTCACTGTATTTTCCACTTTATGCATTCGATGAAGTGAGCTGTAGCTCACAAAAGCTTATGCTCAAATAAATTGGTTAGTCTCTAAGGTGCCACAAGTACTCCTTTTCTTTTTTCATAAAATCTGATGGCTAAGGGCATAAAATGATCATTTGCAGAAGTCAGAAAGGAATTTTCCTCCACATGCAGAATTAGCATGTTTGGGTAGGTGCATTACAGGATTTGTGTGGTTTAGCCTTCTTCTGAAATATTGCCTGTGACAACTGATGAAAGCATGATTCTGGACTTGGTGGATCTCTGTTCTGTCCTGGCATAGCAAATCCTATGTTACTAATAGGTTTAATTACAATTTAAAAACACTGGTGCATAATATAGTAAAACCACAAACCATAGCCCTAGTTTAGCTTAAAAGAATTCTAGCTAAATGTCTCAGTCTCAGTCTCCTGTTAAAGCAGTTCAATATGGAGATGACAAAATTGATAATTATGGTTTGAATTTACAAGTTAAAGTTAGTGGGACACAATGATTATTTGTTTATTTAATTGGAAAGACCATCTCACCTCTATAAAGCAATCCAAACAAAATGAGAATACGCCCCAGGAAATGCTGTTTGTAACACACTGGAATTTATCAGATACATGGTTTACGGATGTGATAAAATCGTATTTGAATTATTGTGTGCATGGACAGATATAATTTTAGCCAACAGAAAATTAATTCTGACAAGCTGAGGTGCTCTTCATTTGCTTTAGAAGAATGTGCTGAGTTGGAACTT